GAACCTGTAGAGAGCGGAGGGGTGGGTGGGTGGGATCAGGGTTGTAGGCTCATTCCTCTAGAAGCCATTTGTTTCTCGAGTTAAACAATAAGCTATCTCTGTATATTGCCAAATTACTTGAAACAAACAGTAGGATATGCTGGCAGCCAAATCACAGCAGACATACAGTACACACACATGAACACACACATTACACACACACAAAGAAAGAAAAAATAATACCAGGGATCTGTGTTAAGCTCTGCTGTTTTCTTGTCATGAGCTTGTGGGGCTTGTTATGCATATATAGAATCACTCAGGGGGGAATTTGAATAACATCAAGTCACATTCTAATGGTATTTTAACATTTCTGATAAAAACAGTAATGCTTTGTGTTTGTGAACTTGTAACCTGTGAACTTTTGGCCGTCAAGATGAAGAGGAAGAAGGAAGATAAACGTCAGGATTAAGACTTCACGCGGTCTGTTATTTTTGGTTTTTGCTTTCATAGCTTTTTTTCCTCTTGTTCGGACTCATGACACACATACACACACCCCCTCATGGACACGCCTGGTGCTCCTGCAGGTGACTTCCTGTATCTCCTGAGTACATGTTAATGTGTGTGTGTCTGTGTGTGTGTATGTGTTTATCTGTGGAGTTTATTTCTGTTGAATTAATCTCACGAGGATGTGTAAATCCCTCACTATCCCTCATGGCGCATACAGCACAGACGACTGTATGCATGTATGTATTTATGCATTATGAATTGTGTGAAATGCATATATACTCGCTGTATGTCCTTATATACTCATGTAGTACTTGACCCTTGGATTTTGTGATACCTCTGAAGGTAAAGTTGAAGAAATAATGAACAACGTTACACGCCAGGTGGGAGGGAACACTGTTACCAGCGATTTAACTGAACCAGATTTTTAAAAATGGTAGAAAGCACCATTGTTGTAGCATCTGGACACCCTGGTATCCCTTCTCTGTGTATGGAGTGTATGCCCCGCTGTGTATAATAGTGTACAGATGTGTGTATATCATTTTGAGGCCAAGGCAGAGGAGTGTGTGTGCATGGTTGGCTAGAATGATCTACTGTGCTATCTGAGGTTTAGTGCATGACCTAGCTGTACCCCCCTCGACCCTTCCAATGGTGCCGTCCTGCGACAGAAATTGTAATACAGAGAGGAACCCTGTGTCTTTAGCACTCAAACACACACTTTCTATGTTTAAAATCAGGGCTCGCAGTGCAGCACTTGCACCATCCTCCCATATTAATGGGTTTATTATTACGAGTGTGTGTGTGTACATCGTTGCAGACACAGGGAAAGCCTCTTTAAATGGACGTTCCTCGGCTTCACACTCGTTTATTCCATGTGGAGTACAGTAGGTTCACGTCCTGGTGCTCTCAGTGAGCGTTTGGTTTTAACGTTGATGTGGTCAAAGCGTCACCTGACAACAAGCTGGAATTTCCTACACCGTGTCAAAATTTCCAGAGCATTATCACATGTCTTTTGGCAGGGGGAATCCTGAGCCATCACCTGAACTGCTAAGCATTTAAATTCATCCACACTGACTGTACGGACTTTTAAGGGGTGCTTTACTCCTCCTGTGAAGAAGGCCGACAAGGTGAATCCAGGGAGCCGTGTAATCCTCTCTATTTAAAGAGGGGTTACTGATCCTTGATAAACTGCAAATCTCAATCGCAGGAAAGTGTTCCTTACATTTTGTACATTCAGTGTAAAATGTTTTGGCTATTTGGGGAGATAGTTTACACTTAGTCATAGTGGAGCAGGCCTTCCACACAACCACTCAGTGCTACTGCTTCATTCAGGCACAGATTTTCTTTTCTTGTGTCCAATACACACACACACACACACACTTGCAGCACAACACGTGCAAATTTAAAGCTAAGAGAAGCAAAAAAAATAGAAGAGACATACCACTAGATACCTTAATCACCTCTTGGATATTTCCTTTTCATTATCTTCTCTCAAACCTTTTCCATCCTTGTTTAGAGGCCCAGGCCAGCTTCCCTCCATACGCCCTCTGAACTTTGCCCTTTGAACTTCTCCCTTTATTAATCTTGCTTCTTCTCGACTTGATGTTAGTGGGTATTTTTCCTGTGTATTCCATTTTGAATTGTAATCTAGTTTGTATAAGAAATGGTGCGCATGTAAATAAAGCTTGGTGAGGCTCCACACCCTTTCTGTCTCCTTGTCTTAGCTCATTTTATTGCTGTAAAAATATGAAAGTATTACAAGTACAGCAATTTCATGAGTGCTGTGGAAGCACAGGACCGCTGTAAACAGCTCATATTGCCATGAGAGGAATTTCCAGCCCAGCGAGGAAATTGTTACAGCCCTCGCCTGCCTTACATGTGATGTTAATTCACAAGTTAACTTGCCAACTGTTTTCCAAAACAGTGTGTGTCTGAGCGCTTGTGCTTGAACAAATTTAACCTCACACTCCGTCCAGAAGATAAATCTCTTTCTCATGTCAGTCTGGAGGGAACAGCAAAACAACTCCATGTTCTTCTCAAGTTCCTGGAAGTTCTCTTGCACAATGTTTGTTTTGTGTAAAGCTGCATTAAACGAGAGCAGACGTACAGCAACCCTCTGATACCACTGGGCTGGGTACCTTTCCTCGGTTGTTGCGAAACATAAAGGGAAAGGGGGAACCGTGAGAGATGGGGGTCACTTGCATGTCTGAAATTTCCCCCAGGCCTCTGCGCCAAATGTTAACACAGACCCTGGCTGGGCTGCTCTGCTGATACTCTCCTTATTCCCCCTTGTTGCCTCCCCCGTAAAGAACAGCCAATAGACCACTTCCCCCCTCTACCAGAGGTCAAGCCTGTTATCATAAAAAGATTATTTCAGATTATCCTGTAATTTAACTGTATGTCTGTGCGTGGAGTTTGTCTTACGGGTTCACTCTATGGGTTCCTCGTCCACAAAGCTGAAAGATTCTCTAGGAACCTTTTAAAGAATCCTCTTCCATTTATGAGAACTTTTATGTATCTTTTATCTTTATCTAAAATGTATTGATCTTGACAATGCTAATGAAAGCTTAGCCTCTCATTCAATTAATTCTAATTCTAATCTGTTCTAGTCATTACTTCCAGGTTTTTAGCAGTTTTTGCTGGAAATGCTAAAGGTGTGAACACAGAAATGCATCACTGTGGAATTTAGTAATTTTCAAATGGTGCAATAATCAGAAGGAACACAGCTTTTATTTAGAGCACTGATGTCATGTTGTGGTATTGTTTCTTGTGGGATTATTACAACCTGGAGTTTACATCCTACAGTTACAGAAAACTTCCACATGGAAGGGTTTTTTTTAAGGCTTATAGTCAATATCTTTAATTAGTGTTTTTTCCAACACAATGATATTCCTGGCAGCGTAAAGAATCCTTTGAAATTTAGCATTTGGGTCCTCATGTAGGAAGATAAAATATATCCGTACTGTACATGAAAAAGGTTAACATTTATTATTATTTTATAACATTTACAAGGTTTTCTGGGGTTGCACTGGAATAATGTGTTCAATGTTTCTAATCAAGACTTGCTAGCTAATAATTACTGTTAACAAAGTGATTGTACGTCATCAAACTTTTCACAACATT